AAAGCAACATTGATAGCATCATTTTCCATTCTGGCCTTTGTTTTAAAATCATAACATCCGTCAACAATTTGTAAGGACCCTCTTTAACTTTCCTGGATAATCATTGTAGATAATTCAAAGTTCACGTACATGTAGTTTCTTTGGGGTTATCTTGTTGTTCGTAATTCAATAGGTTTTGGGGGAACAGGTGGTTTTTGGTTACATGAATAAATTCTTCAGTGGTGATTTCTGAGATTTTGGCGCACCCCTCACTTGAGCAGGCACACTGTTCCCAGTGTGTAGTCTTTTATCCCTCACCCCCCTCACCTGAGTTATCTTTTTTTAATAGCACTACATTCTACTAGCATCCAGTGACACTGACCTGATTCTTCATGTTCACATATTTTGTGACATTCTCCTGGAATTTATCCCAAAACATGTTTATTTCACTTTACAATTATTAATTAGAACCGCTCCATGCCAACCCCACTCTGAAACTCACTGTCTTTGAGTTTACCCAAGAATTGCTCATATATAGGTGTTCCCACCTGCCAATAGTGACATAACTAAACTCCCAAGGTTGCTTTCCAGACCACATATATTTCAGTTCATATTGATTTGCTTAGTTCTACAAATACATTGATGTACTTCCATGTCGGGGCACATAAACCAGAAGAAAGGCAGACAAAATAACTGAATCAAAAAATTCAGTACCACAGGAAATATATAGCACTTATGGACTGAGTCTTGATGTCTTCATCATTTATAAATTCAAGGAAATAATCTTGCTTGTTTCCTTCCTCCCAGAGATACTGTAAGGCAAAATGCCACGTAATCTAAACTCATAAACAAAAGAAGACAATGTAAATTGAAAGCATTGCTTTATATTTTGCTAAAATGTTTAAAATCTAAAAGTATCAAAGTAAATTTCAAGTAGCATCTTTTTATAAACATAGTTCTTTTCATTTCTTTGAAATGAAAAATTGGAACATGAAATATGCAACTAATCCAAAATAAAAAGAGACACAGGAAATGCCAATAGAATTGCCAGGTTCAAATTTTAAGCATGCAACTATAACAAGGTTATCTCTGAGATGGATTTATATAATTAAGAATTTTATACATTAACTTTAACATAAAATTCTGACCAACAATCTTGGACATTTCTGTGGAATCTTACATTATACAAGTGATTTGGGTTTTATGTAATCACATGGTTTATAATGACTAGAAAGTTTACTAATATTAGTAAACGCAACTTTGAGACTTGTAGAAAAACTTGCCCTTCAACAAGAACACAGATAATATCAGTGTGGAACTGAGAAAAGTATTACAATAATAAGAGCCATTGAAGAACTATAATTTTAGTTAATCACTGAAAATATCCTGTATAATATAGATGCTCAATTTCAAAAGGAAGTAGAAACTTCATGATAAGCTGTCTTCAGGAATGTACAGAGTTTTTCTTTTTCTTTAAAAAAGTTATGATAAAATATGATTGGTTTTATACAAAATCCAGTTGCTAAAATATGATGAAAAATATGTAGTAACTCTATGTGTATCCTCAGTATGCTCCCCTGATAATGTGTCAAAATATCTTGTTTAGAGAACTCAGACCTTCTGGCCACATTTTTTGATCTGAACTTTCAAGCTATCCTTTGTTTAACAGAAAAAAAACATTCAATGTACAAAATCTTTATGCTTGGGGCCCACATAAGTAAGTAGGTCACGGGTAAATTTTGATCATGGGTAGCCTTTAGACCAAGAAACTTTCCGAATAATCCAATTCCTTTTCTAGTAAATATCAACAATTTTTAAATTGTCATAAATGATTTAAACCATGTGCAAAAAGTATGTTTCATTAATGAACCCAAGATATTATTATTATTATTATTACTATTACTATTATTATTTTCTTTTTGAGATGGAGTCTTGCTCTGTCACCCAGGCAGGCGTGCAGTGGCTCAATCTCGGCTGTCTGTAACCTCCACTGCCTCCCGGGTTCAAGCAATTCTCCCTGCCTCAGCCTCCTGAGTAGCTGGGACTACAGGCACCACCACCACACCCAGTTAATTTTTGTATTTTTAGTAGAGATGGGGTTTTGCCACAGTGGCCAGGATGGTCTCAAACTCCTGACCTCAGGTGATGCTCCCGCCTCAGCCTCCCAAAGTGCTGGGATTATAGGCGTCAGCCATCGTGCCCGGCCTAAAAATATTTTTCTTCAGAGGAATATGTCTTATTTGCTTTTCCAGTAATGACACTGGCATTGTTAACCATTTAAATACTTCTAGTATTTTTTTTTTTTTTTTTTTGAGATGGAGTCTCACTCCTGTCACACAGGCTGGAGTGTGGTGGCACGATCTTAGCTCACTGCAACCTCCGCCTTCTGGGTTCAAGCAATTCTCCTGTCTCAGCCTCCCAAGTAGCTGGGATTATAGGCGTGCGCCACCACACCCGGCTAATTTTCGTATTTTTAGCAGAGATGGGGTTTTGCCATGTTGGCCAGGCTGGTCTCAAACTCCTGATTTCAGATGATCCACCTGCCTTGGCCTCCCAAAGTGCTAGGATTACAGGCGTGAGTCACCGACCTGGTCACTTCTACTCTTTTAATTGCTAATCTGTCCTCTTCCTCACAATTGGCAATAAAATATAATTATGTGTCACTGAGAAAAATTGAGAATTTCAACAGAAAGATTAGTTTCTAATTTTCCAGAGAGAAAATATTCTCTTTCCATTGTAGCTAATCAACTTAAGTGAAGAATTGATAGCATTCCTTGCATGACCTCAAGGGATGAAAAATCTATCAAAGAGTTGTCTTTCCTTTGTACCAGTTCCAACTGACTTCAGTGGGAATTCCCTGGTCATACATTCTGTGAGAGTAAAATAATGAAATTATTTTCCTATCAATAGTAATATTGCTATTTATCCTGACAAATATCATGTGAAAATAAGAATTATTATTCCCACCCATTATGACCTTCTACTTTCAAACTAAACATTACAGAATTATCTTATAATACATGTAGGTTATATATTATTTAATATGGTCTCTATATCATATACTAAGTATTATTTTACGTACATCTGACATTAAACATTTTTCCAACTGTTTATAAAATAATTAATAATAATATCTACTGAATCCTGTTCAGAAAAATTGTAATTTAATGTTTTTTCTTAGTTCCTAAAGGCCTGTCATTATTTTTCATGAGTCAGGACTCTGGTTAGTACAGCTGGAGTGACTGTCCTAAGACCACAGTTACATCATCATGTAAGCATTTGCCATAAATCTATTTTCTCCCAGGAAATTACTACCTTAAAACTTGGAGTTCTTTACTCTTTTATTAAACATAGCCCTTAACCAGAGATCCTCCCAAAATTTGCAATTCATACAGTAATACCTATCATACTGCCTTCCTGGATGAATTAAATTGACAAAAGGTATGAATCCATACATTAACTCTTTTATCCACCTTCTAACTCTCAGCTCCTCTCTTTATTGCAATATCGCAACATAAGGTAGGTCTTCTACAATGCACAAAAGGATATATTTCCTAACAAGAAAAAAAATTGAGATGTCTTCAAACATAAATTTAAAAAATATCCATCTCCAGCCAGCTTAGATTTATTGCCATAGCTACATATCATCAATAAATGGTTCTAGCAACTAAGGAAAATATTAATTTGGCTTGAAATCTGAGTCAACACTAGGAAAAAAAGCCTATTTTGTTCATACTTTTCTCATTTTCAATTAAAAATCTCTGATGTAGGAGACAAGGACCATGCTACAAGTCATCTTGAGGTCTACATGATTAAGGAGATTTTTTTGAGTTTCAGTGTGTCCAGGTGCCACTCTGTTTCCACAGTTTTAGGGCCTGGGGTTCTACTGACGACAGGGATGGGAGCTGACTGACATCTTTTGTTTCTGACATTTTTTGTTGACACCATCAACAAGAGAAAATGATACTGGAACTTTTAATGATTAAATACATACATGGCCACCAAGATACGCGAATTGACATTTTTTTGAGAAGCTACAATGGCATTCTTGATTTGAGACTATGAAGTCTGATTAACATATTCAAACACACACACAAACAAAAAGTCCACTTTATTATATTTATCTGCCTAAGAAACAAACATGTCTGAATAAAAATGGTGCATACACAAACACAGACATACAGAAACAGATATACACTTCCAGTCAAGCCCTCTGCAAAAGCAGCTGTTCTAAACCAAGGAAGTGATCCAAGCATTTGTGAAAACTGTACATTGGTGCAGGAGGAGATAAAAGACTTGCAAAACAATCAAATAAAAATAAATATATAAGAATCATGAGAAACCTTAAACTGACTTATGAAAAAAGTAAACAAATGAGTATATATGCTCCATGAGAACTAAATCACTGGCAAGGCCATCTGGCTCCAAGTCATGGCTGGAAATAAGTTGCGATATGTCTCAAGTGCTTCTTGGATTATATTGTTAATGTGTCAAAAAAGTATCTAGAATGGAGAAAGAATGTGTATTTTTTTATTTGACAATATCCCCAAAGCACCATCCTCACTGTTGAAAGTCAACATTAAACACCTAAAGCATTCGGTTTTCAAAAGGAATGAGCTGGAACCTTAGTTGAGAACTCTCTGCCTCATTCAGTGCTAATATTTAATGCCTAATTTAGTGCCTTGCAAACAATTAACATTCAATAAATTCTTGTTGAAAGAATGAATGAATAAATGATCAACATTAAATATATTACAGTTAATTGGCCAATAACATGAAGAATGTGCATAGTTAATTGGCCAATCAACATGAAAATATTTGTTTCAATAGAAAAAATTACTGGTTATTAGAGTGGAGTTACTCGTGTCCCTCGAAATAAAATTTTATGTTTTAAAAAATCTTTACTTGTTTTCAGACGGTTGAATTATCTGTCAGCACTTTGAGCACTATTATGCATTTTTTAAAACATTACAAAATCATTTAAGTGGACTCACATATTACATCGAACCATCAACAATTACCTTTGTTACAAAAGTATTCCACTTCTTCACAGCTCAGATTTTCAGGCCCAAATTCTGTGGAAAAGCTTTCCTCCAATGGAAAGTCTCCTTTGGAGATGATGTCTGTTTCCTCTGATGGACATTCTTCTTCCTCATCTTCAATGGCATCTTCAAGCGGCCCTTGAAAAAGAATCAGGGACACTGTACCAAAAATATCCAAGGAAGACAGTGAAATAAAATCCTTAAATAGAGCCTTTTTTTTGTTACAGTGGTGAGAAAAATAATATACTCTAAGCAGTACCACCAAGGGGACTCACACAAGATAATGCTACATCTGTATAGACAAGGAACAATGACCTATGATGAAAGATCCAAGGAAACCAGTGTCAGAAGTTATAACATAGAAAGCAACCTGCATCTCCATTGCTTCCCCACCCCCAACCTCAAGCCCCAAACTTATTTTTTTGATTCCCTCTTTAAGAGCAAAACTGTGCACTTTATGTTCATTTGTTAGAATTAACTGCCTGGTAAAGCGTACAAGTCTCTTTTACACTGTTGTACAATTTTACCTGAGATTTTAATAAAGATTTAAAGTAATTGAATGCATTTTAATTGAACTGAGATTTTAATAAAGTCTATACTTTTAAAAATCCATCTTAAGAGTGGATTCTGAGAAAAGATTTCATTATATGTGTTTGAGGCTTGAAGAAAAATTACATATTTCTCTCCCTGATGAAAGCATAACCCTATTCATAATTAATTGAATTTTTTCTGAAATGAAAAGTGGTTTTCTAATGAAAAAATGTAATTTGTATTTATGTGATACTTTTTCAGTAATAAAAATACAACTCCCTTGGAGAGAATGAGAGTGAGGGGCGCTACATTAATGGACCTATTTTATTGAAAGGAAAGGGAGGGCTGGAGTTGTTCAGACCGATCTGAAGTGGACTACATGGGAATACCACTGGGCTGATTGTGAATTTCTGGCTGCCTCTAAAGAATCGAAGTAACCAACTCATTTTAATAAGTAGAAACTGCATTTGCTCCCAAAGAAGTGATGTGGCATTTTATCCAAAGAACACAATTATGGTAATTTGTACTAATTGTCACTCATGGCAGCAGTCTCATCAGACAGGCTAAATACTCAAAGGCTCAGGCAGCCTCTCACTCTCACTTTTTAGATATGTGCTAGGAAATTTCCAGGGCCTAAGGAGCAATCTTATAAATAATTTAAAATGGTACATATACTACAATTTTTATATCTATGTACATAAATAGAAATAAGTATCGTATCTAGTGTTTCCCCAAAAAGTAATTGTCAAAGGATTCAATTAATATGACATTTTGGCCTAGACAAAATAATCGGATGGGTTTAAATGAAGGGACATCCAACTGAAAATTTCTTACAGAGTCTCTTTGTCCTTTAAAAAATGTGTTTTACCCTTCATTCTTCAAAAGAGCAAATGTCAAGAAAAAAAGGATGCCCTAATTCTACTCTGGTCATATTGTGTTTTATTATACATTCTGTGTGCTCAAGGTAGAGGGTTAAAAGAACCATGGATTTTGTTTCTGCACCAACCACATTCAAAAGTCATGCATCTCATATTAGATTTTATCTTATTAACTGTTTCAAGTTTAAAATGCATAATCTTTCACCTTTTTGAACAATTATGTCAAAGAGCAAGACAAGCAAAGATATATAAAATAGTAATAATGAAAAATATTGCAACCTTTAAATCATTTATTTGATAATTTCAAGAGATAAGTTCAATTATTAATGCTAAGTCTAATGAGAACTTAGCATTAATAGATTACATGATTTCATTTATGTATTTCATTTTGTATATATACCATAATACATCCATGTAACAAATTTGTTGTTATAATTAATAGAATATTTTTTTTTCAAAAAATGTAATTATAACAACAAATTTGATCAAAAGAAGACATGAGCTACATCATTTGTTTCATGTAAGAGTTTCAAAGCACTTTCTATTTTTTTATTTGTATAATTTAAGGGGTACAAGTGCAGTGTTGTTACATGGATGTATTATGGTATATATACAAAATGAAATACTATTCAAAGCACTTTTTTACATGATCTTTAAAATAATCCAGTGAAGTAAGTATGAGAATTATGACTATTTTTATTTTGCAGATTTGAAAAATGAAGTTCAGGAGGTTAGTTAACTAGAATAAGGTTTCCAACTGACAAGTGAAAAAGTTAATGTGAAAATTTAAGATTATTATTATTTTTTGAGAAAGGGTCTGGCTCAGTTGCCCAGGCTGGCATACAGAGGTGCAATCACAGCTTGCTGCAGTTTCAAATTCCTGGGCTTAAGTGACTCTCCCACCTCAGCCTCTGGAGAAGCTGGGACTACAGGCATGAGCCAAGAGCTTTTAAAAATACTTTTAATTAATATACTACTATGTAAACCAGTCTTTGGTAGTTATAAATGCATTGCTTCAGAAACAACTTTAAAACATAGGTAACTTAAAAAATGGTTAATTCCTATTAACATAATTATTTATTCATAGATGCTTAATGATCTCATCTTTAAAAATTGAAAACTCTCTTGTTGCTCTTCTCAAATTACTGAAAGTCAACCAAAATACTAGACCCCTCCCCAAAGTCAGAAAGATAGTCTTATAGACTTATCAAAAATAAAATAATTACTATTATTTTTATTTACATAATTTATACTCACACTACATCAATATGTAAAGTAACTTTTAATATCAGTTTTAACAGAAATTACAATATATATTTCTTTTGAAATATATGCTTCTTTTGGAATATATGCTCTGAGTTTTACTAATGAAAAGTAAAGCTCTAACAGATATTTTCATATATAAAATATGAAAAATAGAAAAAGAAATTCTTTTTTTTCTGGATGCTCTTCAATTATAAAAGCCCATATATAATAAAAAGAATGTATACATATTATACATGTTTAAGTAACAGTAATATATATGCTTTCCTTTTACAAAATGAAATTCTAGGCATACATACTTTTTTAGAAGAGGATTTACTAAGAATGATATGTAATGAATAATTATTTACAATATTCAATGACAAATTGGCTTCGATAATATGACATCAATTTAAATTTAATCACTGTATTAAAAATATATTGAAATGCTCATGGGAAAATTTGAAAGAAAAATGTACACACAAAGCATTTATTTATTTTTAAATCTCAAAGTCATGTTACAGTAATTTTATATATACACAGATACATATGTATATTTATATATATATAATCTTTTATGTATCAAAGTTTTTGATAAGATCTTAGTATGATATATTTCAGGGTTGTTTTATTTTACATGTTGGCTCTTCCTTTGCAATTCCAAGCATGGAATTAAAAAGAAGCACCTACATGTTTAAAAATGAATTATCAAAATTCAAATAAAAGGTGAAAAATCACTAAGCTCATTTGTTCCAAATTTTTTGAACATGAGATCTCATTGTCAATATTTAAAACAGGCCATAGGAAGGTCATTTGGTGACCAACTTGTATTTCTTCCAAAGCAAGTGTCAGCTTTATATAATTCACTGTACTTTAAAATGTAAAATAACTAACCATTTCTTTAGCTATGCCATCAAATCAGGCTCTGGGAAAAAGGTTTCTTTTAAAATGCATAGTATTTATGGTTTAAGATCCGATCTCACTCTACTCTCTATATTGCATGTTTCTTTAACAGGAAAACCTTACAGATAATCGGTGGCCATAAACTAACATTTTAAAAGGGTAAGAGACACTTGAAGCACAAGTACAATTAATAGCACCAATGAAGGAGGGAATGAAGGAACCTCCTGTGTATGGATTAGTGGGCACAGAAGTCCACTTCAGAAAAATCACCACACATAATTTGACACAAATAATAATATCTACTCAGAAAAGGCTCACGACTGAGCTCCATGTGCCCTCATGGAGAAAATTACTTCTGATTGAGGCCACTTGGCAGGCAAGTGTGAGGAAATCTGAATTTCAGCTCTTCAATTTCTTCTGATTTATAGATATTCAAACACACTCACCAGAATTAATAGTCTCAATGTTTATAAATATGAATATTTACCTCATTAAAAAATACTACTGATTAGTTTTACATCCTCAAGCTATGAACACCGTGGTGCTATATGTTAGGCCCATAATGCTGTTCATTGTCTCTCAGAATAAATGAGGAAGCATCCTCTCATATTCTATACTGGTTGAATAATGGGAATAACTGGGAAATTCTGGTGAGTGCAAAGTAGTACTTCCATTTTCAGAGAAGAGAGGCAATTGTGTGCCCAGGACCATCTGAATTGGCCACAGCTACCTTTGCCCTCTGGAGAGAAAGCAGAAGATAAGAAGGGAAGTGTAGATTCACCACACCTAACGATGCTGATGGACAGCCCAATGTACAGTGAAGCTTTTCATCTAGGCAGTACCAACAGCTGCACTGTGCAAGCTGGGCCTAAGGTGGGTATATCAGACGATTTTTCATTTGGTGGTTGTTTCAATGATCTGCAGTTTGTAAATGACAAATGGGATATCAAAGATTAAATAGTCTAACCCTATACACTGGTAATGTAATAGCTGAATAAAATGAAATTTTAAAAAGTGGATTTGCATGGTTAAGAAGCAGGTAAGGGAGCACTTAGTCCCCCAGATAAATGAATTTATAAGAAAATTATTGCTACAATTTCAGGGGGTTAAAGAAATCTCTGAAATGCATCCATAGCCACTGGAGTAAGAGCTAGAAGGTGACAAAGAAAATTTGAAAACAAAAAAATAAAGAGGATGAGAAAATATATAGGCATTCTGAGGAATAAGGATGAAAATGATGCAAAATAAGCAAAACAATGAGGAAATGTAAGAAATGATAAAGAAAAACATAGTAAATATTAAATCAAATACATGCATCTTTCAACATACATTGTCTCAATAATAACTTTCTACTTTGGTAGCCTATTATAAATGGAACAACAACCCTCACCTAAATGCCAGATTGTCTTTGTTCAGATAACTTCAAAGCACTTCAGAATAAGAAGCATCTAAGAATGAAATTAAGCTCTACAAAAATTAATATACATTGTCATGTATTAACAGGGGAAAGAAATGCCAACTTCTATGGCTCTGATATAATATCCCACAAAAGGGACCTTTCCTCTTAAACAGTTATTGGCATTA